CAATTATGTAAGTTGAATTTTTGTGCAACCAAAAATAAAAATGAGTTTCCCATCAGCGAGATCCGTAATATGAGTCTCAACCACGACAGTTACAACTGCTGACCGTTCGGCTATCGTCGCGATGCTTGACAGAGCTCAACAGAAAATTTGACATAACCATGATGTGCTAGAAATCTACATAAGATAGTTACTGGTGAAATGCAAATACGAATATTTAACTAGACTTTTTGTTTACTATTTTAGATTTTCTCGGCAGGGATGCTTTTACATATGTATGCATGTGCATGGCTCGCTCTCGCCCTTACAACGACAAACCGACCAAGAACAATGTCATGGTTGTTTTTACAACAGCAACAGGATACTTTTTGGCCTACGCCCCAAGTACTTATACCCCATACGCACACATACACATATGTATGTATGTATGTACCAAGAAGAATGCAGTTTTGCTGCGTTCGAAATGTATGCACCCAAGAGGCTTTGTGGTGCACGCCGAAGACATGGTTCATGCAAAATGCAATAAATACGTCGGTCCACTTGATTTAAAGATGGGCCATCTATCGTTCTGGTCGTCGTCGTTGTGTCGTCAGTGTCGCCAACATTCTTTCCCCTTTCGGACACTTGCATCGACATTTTGTTAGTAATTTTTTGAATTTTCTCTTTGCTCTGCTATGTACTCGTATATGCATGTACATATGTAAATATTTTATATGAGCATGTGTCTACGCCTCGACCACTTCGATTTAGCAACGTAAGTGATAAACTGCCATTCCCCTGCTAACACTTTTATGGAAAATATTTTGCAAAAAGCTGAACAGACATAGGGCACTCAGAGATCTTTCATGAACTATACTATAAATATCAACTCGTATGTATGTATATGAGCGTATGCGTAAGTGTTTGCATTCTAACGCCACCAGTACCGAGTACCAGTTGGCGTTTAGCCTGTGGCCTCGCTCTTGAACGTTGACTTACTTGTCATTTCGGCTTTCGTATACGCAAGCGTTTATTTTCAGTTTCGATGGATTGGGCTCTTCAAAGTGATTTGTTTATTGTAATAAAATGCCAAGAAATTTTGCATTCCCAACTTACATGTGTACAACATGCGAACTGCGATAAGATGAACCGGTGAAGAAAACAAAGTGACACAGAAAGTGAAAGTAGGACCATTAGTAGTCAGAGTTGAATGTGGTGTCCTCAAGTGTTGAGTCAAGTTGACTTGAGTTCAGTTTTATTTAATTTTAGATTCAGTTGCACTGAATTTTGCTGTGTTGGTTGTTGAATTTGAATTGAGTTGAGCTTGAATTACAGTTGAATTGAGTTGAGTTTTGTTTTGTATGAGTTTCAGGCGAAGAAGAATATGAGGAACAAGATGAAGAAGAAGAAGAAGAGGAAGAAGAGGAAGAAGAGGAAGAAGAGGAAGAAGAGGAAGAAGAGGAAGAAGAGGAAGAAGAAGAAGAAGAAGAAGAAGAAGAAGAAGAAGAAGAAGAAGAAAAAGAAGAAGAAGAAGAAGAAGAAAAAGAAGAAAAAGAAGAAAAAGAAGAAGAAGAAGAAAAAGAAGAAAAAGAAGAAAAAGAAGAAAAAGAAGAAAAAGAAGAAAAAGAAGAAGAAAAAGAAGAAGAAAAAGAAGAAGAAAAAGAAGAAGAAAAAGAAGAAGAAAAAGAAGAAGAAAAAGAAGAAGAAGGAAAAGAACGTGAAAAAGAAAAGGAAGAAAAAAAGAAAAGGAAAAAGAAGAAGGAGAATAAGAAGATGAAGAAGAAGAAGGAAAAGAACGTGAAAAATAAAGGGAAGAAAAAAAGAAAAGGAAAAAAGAAGAAGGATAATAAGAATAAGAATAAGAATAAGAAGAAGAAGAAGAATAAAAATAAGAAGAAGAAGAATAAAAATAAGAAGAAGAAGAATAAAAATAAGAAGAAGAAGAATAAAAATAAGAAGAAGTAGCAGAATAAGAATAAGAAGAAGAAGAAAAAGAAGTATAGGAAAAATAATAAAAACAAGAAGTATAAGAAGAATGATAAGAAAAAAAAAAGAAGAAGAAGAAGAAGAAGAAGAAGAAGAAGAAGAAGAAGAAGAAGAAGAAGAAGAAGAAGAAAAAGTAGAATCAGAAGAAGAAATAGAAAAAGAAGAATTAGAAGAAGAAGTAGAAAAAGAAGTATTGGAAGAAGAATAATAATAAAAAGGAAAAAAAGAACTAGAGCTGTATTGGGTTGGGCCGAGTAGAGTAAAGTTCAGTTGGGTTTCATTTGATTCGAATTAATTTTTGAAATATTTTGAAATCTTTAATGCCAATATTTCCTTCGGATAATTTCAAATTTCCACTTCAAAAATACAGAAAATAACACACTAGTCTTAATTAGAAATGTAATACCAATCCTAAATGCCTCTTCCGTGGTTCTACTTTATAATTCACTGGGTTATTGCTGACGTTGATTTCATTATTTCCATGTAAAATGTTAAAGGAGTGCCAACGCGTACACTCGAACCACGAGTTCACTCCGCACAAAATCAAACTTTTTTTTTGGCTCCATTCGCGAGCTGCACTATCCTTATTCTCGACCTTTCCGGCGCTGTCTGATCGATACATACACGTACATTCATACATATGTATGTATTATATTATAGCGGCCTCTGGCATTGTCTTCTTCGCCGCTGCTGTCAACTGTCTACTGACTATTGTCGTGCCGTAACGTATTGTCGATTTGTATATTGCCTTGTGCGTGCCGTGCATATCCAACTGCTTGCTTGCGTGCATGCACACATGTACGTCACACGTATGCCTGTATGTGAGCGATCAGATGGGTGCGCATGTATGCGTGTGTGCGGCATGTCCTTCGACGTTTGTTGCGCTCTTTTTGTGTGGTGTCGATGTTTTTAAGCTAGTAAACAGTTGGTCGCTCGCCGAGAGCGAGTTCATTTTGTTCGAGCGCGTGAAAGTCCTTCTTTTTTTCGATGTACGAAGTAGCCGAGTGGCGTTGTGCACTAACAAAAACAAATGCACAAATAAAAGACACAAATGGTGGTCTAACGTTGAAGCAACAGTAGAAAAAAAAGCGTCGTAAGGCAGGAGTTCAAGCCAAGCGTCCGTAAATGTTCGCGAGGACAATATGAAGTAATAAATTTCCGGTTAGTGTACGCTTTCAAGTGGTTATCTTTCTTTGTGCTGTGCTTGCCATTGCTCCGCTGCTTGTGGTCGCTATTGTTGTTTAGTTTCACATCTATTACGTGTGTATGTGAGTTTGTATTTAGAGAGATGAAACATATGTACATTAGTGTGAGTGTGTAGGCTGCATATGTGTGAGTTTTTTGTATTATTTTTATCAACAAACAGCAGTTTGGACAGCAGGGCCGGTCACATTTGAAAGTTAAAAAAAGAAACAAGTTTTTTTTTTTGTTTTTTTGTTTAGTTTGGCGCTTTGCATATTGACAATGTCAATTCAATTTACTCGAAGTGGGCGGAAAATGAGACATTTTGTATGGAAAATGATTGCAAGTAGCTTGACAAATGCATATGTGCATACCACCATACATACATACATTTAGGGCTGTGCACAGCGAGTGCTCGTGGTGTGTGTGTGAGTGTGTTTGTGTGTGTGTGTTTATGTGTGTGTAACGAAGGCCAATGCAAATTTGTCATGTTAGACAAGTTAGTTGTCATGTTGTGGGAGTTGCTTGACTTCGACGATGTGTTGAGTTGTTGATATAAAATATTTTGGTAGGACCACTTGTCGTATGAGTAATATTTTTTATTTGAAAACAATTTGACATTTATATAATTATGTATATATAAAAATAGTAAAAATAGTAAGTTAGTACTGTTATTTTTAACTCACTCAATTAAATAGGACAAATAAAATTTTATAAATAAAAAAATGTTTGAACTAATAAAAGACTTTTAAAACTTTGATCACGTAACTGTGTCTATTAATGCGTATAAGGCCTGTATGAAGTATACAATTTAACTGTATATTTTTGTAGTGCTTCCACAAGTACCTCACTTAGCATTATATATATGAGCGGTTTATACGGCTGGTTGATTGAAAAGGTTGGTGGTTAAGGACCTAGTCGCTGGTATGTGTCCTGACAATGCGTCAAAGTAACATCCGTTTGATTTATTTAAAATTGCCTAAACTTCTTCGCGTCATGCTTGCATTTATCCGTAAAACTAGGGCTTTGAGCATCACGAAAGCTATCTATCGGCTTACAAAAGTAGTGATTCGTCCTCTTCTATGCACGTGTTCTGCTATGTCCTTCAATACTCACGATGGCTAAGTACTGTCACCGGGCTGTCAGCGCTCAACTGCGCCTCAAGTCTTCACGGCAGTGTCTCTTTCTCTCTCTTACTCTTACCCACTTTGGGTAATCACCCCAGACCTCTCAGTATGAATCCAGTTCCATAAATCCACCACAAGCCGCACTCACTTTCAGCTCCACCTCATCCGCCCGTTGGGGGGTTACCCAGTACCTCCTAGCATCTCGCTCGGTCTTTTCCGTGTGTTAGGCTAAAATACATCGGAACGTGGCATGAGTCAAATGCAACTTCTACTGCTGGTGCCACTTTCGGATGTTTACTGGATGGCGTGCTACCCGTGAGTGGAGTGATGCGTATGTTGTACCTCCTGTAAGTGTCTGCCCTTGTCTTGTTCTTGCTTGCCCGGAGATAGGACCACAAGGTCCTATACGTACGGATTAACTTCGATGCAAATGATGTATGGGACTTTTTCAAGGACGTACCAATCAGGTTTCCTCAGTTCATATATCCACAGCAGTTGAGCTGAGAGAGTGAGTTAAGGATTTCTCAGGTTGCAAGGATTTTTAGTTTTTTTTATTAAAGTAAAGTTATTCTGACGGGAAAATTCGAGTGGTTAGCCATGCGTACTACTATTCCGGAAGACCTGGAACCGAGTCCGGGTTCGACCAACATCCAAAATTAAAAAAAGAACAATAAAATCTAGTTTTTCCATAGAGTTTGAGTAAAATCTCGATTTTAATTCCTTTTTCAGAGTCTAATGAAAACGGAGATTCAAGCAACAACAATGTTGCTAATGCAAAAACAAGGAAGCCGACAACAGTTACAAAAAATACAAAAACAAACAAAACAACACCTGGAGCTGGAGCAGCAGCAGCAGCAGCAGCATCTAGAACTACAGCAACGCACCACAAAACTTCTACACCAATGCAACAACAACAGCAGCAGCAATTGCAGCAGCAACAACAACAACAACACCAGCAATTGCAATTGCAGACGACGCAAAAGCAGCCACAGGCGCAACAGTTAACCAACAACATAATATTGCTGCGCGGTGCACGTAACGAAAATGGGCAGATTGTCATTCAGAATAAGCACGGCATAATAAGTATATTTAATACTGAACAGCAACAACAGCTACAGCAACAACAACAACAATTACAACAGCAGCAGCAGCAGCAGCAGAAAATTGATAAAACAACCGTTGCTGCGACACTGACACAATTGCCCACAGCCACAACTGTTGCACGCAAATCAATACAAGCAACAACAACAACACCATCAACAACAACAACTACGTTACTTGGAAGCGTAAGAAATACTGGTTATGTTGCTAAGGAAACGCCACCAACAGCGCCGACACCAAATATTGGCGCGATTGGAGGAAATATGACTGGCGCCGGCGGTAATGTCGGCGGTAATAGCAGCAGTGGCAACGCCACAAATACGATTTTGCTGCAAACGCCAATCAACGCAAGCCAGTTGGAGTCCGTATTATTGCATTCGGCCAATTTGAAGAAACAATCCAATGCTTCCACCGCTGCCGATCGCCAATATCTCTTCAAAACAGTGAGTAGTTGTTATATTTGTGGTCATTTCAATTTTCAAATATAAATAATTATTGCATTATGCTTTGCAGGCCTCGCGCAGTCTTAGCACCGACAGCAATCGCTTGGGCCGTGCCTCGGACAGTGGTGCCGCCATGGGCAGTAGTAGTTTGAGTCAAGCTAGCAGCAGTAGCAACAGTCTTTCCAGCAAAGCGCCATTTGTATTGCAAACACTTAAACGACTCGAGAAGTCACAATCTATACTAGTCATACGTAATCCATCTGCCTCATCGGTAGCTGCGCTTACAGCTTCCGCTTCCGCCTCATCGCTCTCTACTGTCGCCGCCACATCGTCCAGTTCTGATCGTGTGTCCAGTACTGGCGCTCCAAATGCACTGCTTTCATCATCTTCTGCCTCTTCGTCCCATTCGGGATCAACCCTTTCATTGTCCACATCCACGCATGTGAGCGCGCCCACGCAAATGGTTAGTGTTAGTACGAATACACAGGCAGGCAGCTTAAATTTTGCACGTGCCGTAAAAAATCGGCAGACTACCGGAACGGCTGTTGTGCCATCTACTGCTACAACGACAACCAAGTTGGGAAATATCACTGTGAACCGCACCAGCAATGGAGCATCGGCAAAGTCAACGTCAACGTTATCATCAGCTGCCACCACGACAACTACAACATATTTGCGTTTAGAGAATGCAACAACTGTGTTTGCCAATAACACTAACGGTGGTAATCACAACAATGCTAGCGTCAATGGTGTGGCTATGAGTAAAGTGGTTGTGGTCAGTGGTAGTAAGAGCCATAACGCTGCCGTTGTGGCAAATGGCAACAAAAATATGAATGCCAGTAGCATGAAAAGTGTTGACACACATTCACAACAACATCAACAACAACAGCAGCAGCAGCAACAACAACAAACGAAATTATGTCTGACCGACGTGCAGTTGAAATTGGACACTCGCAACGGTGGAGGAGCTGGAAGTAATATCGTCATTACGACACCTCAACAGCAATCAGCAATGTCAGCCATACAACAACAGCAACAACAACAAGCACATGGGCAGCAGCAAAAAACTTCGTTGTCAAATGCGCCTCGTGGGAGCGGTAAGTTGAACAGTCGATTTTATATAGTCTATTCAACAAATATATGTCTTTATTGTCATTTATTTATTTTCTCTAGTTCTTCTACTACCAATTTGTTTGATTTGGTCAACAATATCTGCTTTGCTAAAAATAGTAAACTAGTAAACCAAATACAATGTATTTGTTAGCTATTAGAAGAAAGTGCTTTGTTGTCTATTTAGAAAGCCAAGTTTCACATAGGTATTCGCCAACCACTCGTTGGCTATTTGTTGTAACTACAACAGAAGTGTGATTTACGCAGGTAGTCAATTTATTTTTGGAAGAATGGAATTTTTTTTTGGTTTTTTTACACTTGTTTTCTTTATTGCTTTTTTGTAGTGATTGGTGATGATTTTGTTGATTTGATTGTAGAACAAGAACATAAATAAATCGTGGAATACGAAAAATAAAATCATGACACCTAAAACCCTTCCAGCTGATACAGTTTTTTTTTTTTGTTTTTGGCCAGACGGTTCATTTTTATTTACGTTTTTTCTCATATCACAAACTTCTCGCTACGTGCTTGGCTTACGTAAGCATAATTCAATTAATCCAAATAAACCTCACCTCAGGCGATATAGACCAATCAAAAGGGGAGTAAATTGCTCATGTTTTGTACTCCTAATTTATATGTGCTCGTACTTGTAACATACACATTTTCTCTTCTCTGATTCCGATTTACTGCGTCAACTTATCGTTTTAGTTGCAAAGATTTCGATTTAGACGCTTTTATAATTTGAGCTTAAAAATGATTTTATTATAAAAAGAAATATTAATTTGTGGCATGTTTAAGATGTGTTTAATTAATTTTTGCAAATAATCGGATATCAATACATATGCATAGACGTATTCTTACAAAGCTCAATGAGAGGTCGGAAGGGAAAATAACAAGTAAATAAAATATTTTATGGCTAACTGAAATTGAAAGTAAGCTACTCCTTATCCTCGCTACACTCCGGTTTCTCTTCATCCGGTTTCTCTTCTTCTGCTTCCATCACTGGATACCGCATCGAATACCTTCAAAGCTGGGGTGCTATCATTCATTCGGGCGATATGACGTAGTCGCTTTATTATTTTATTCGCTACACTGTGTCAATGTAACCATAAAACTCTTAAACCGTCTGCGGTATTCTCCGTTGCCAATGCCCAAAAGATCATACATTTTTTTTTTCAAAATTTTTCTCACGAAGAGTCCGTCAACACCTTCATGAACTCTTTCCCTGTGGATAGTATTCTCGGAGGTAAACTACCATCTATAGTAGACGAAGAGCTCGAGCCGCTCGCTTTTTGGACCGCCCGTTAGGTGATCTCGGTGACTTAGACTGATATAGCTTGTTCCTAAGCGGAATTGGCGAGCCGCTACAACAACAACACGAGCATGCGGATCTTGTAGAGTTTGGTTTGGGTTCGTCGACAGAGCACTTTCCAATTTCCTACGCAGTCCAAAGTAACACCTGTTGCTGGTCCCTAGATAGACGACATTACCTATGACCTTGAAGTTATGACTGTCAACAGCGCCGTGGGAGCTGAGTCGCGAATGAATTGCCTGTTTGTTTGATGACAGGAGATATTTCGTCTTGTACTCTTTCACAACCAGACCTATTCGCTCGCTACTTTATCAATTTTAGAGAATTCAGAAGCGTAGAGTTCATGCATTTTTTTTGATTTTGACTGTTGCTCACCTGGGAGTCGCCAGAAACGATTCCTTTCCACTTTTAAAACAAGGACTCTCTGGGTAAACCTATACTCCAATAAATAAATTAAATAATTAATTGTTTATGCAGAAAGTCGTTAGTCACAGTGTTGGGAATGTCTAGATTTTGCTTATACTTTTTTGCTGCCTTAATCCTTGCCATATAATAAAAAATATTATCTCATTACTAATAATAAAAATATTTTTATTTTTTATTAAGAGCAATACCATTATATATATAACAATTTTAAAATTTTGCTTCAATGGAAAGTTTAATATTTAAAACAAAATATATACATACATATTTTTTAAGAAAAATCGAAATTGAAATTGAAATCCTTATTCAAAGTGAATTACCAAGAAAATGTGAAACTTCCAAAGAAAACATTTCTTTCTATTTTTTTGTTGCTTTTAATTTCCTAATTCATTACCTTTCCTACAACTGCTTGCTCACTTAGTGAGTTTGTGCTTTTTCATTTCGATGTTGCAACATAAAAAGTTTTCTCTCAAGTATTTGCGGTTCATTGATATGCAGTGGCGGTTTTTTCAAATTTTGCTGAGTTTGCTGTTGTGTATTTACACCTCAGGGAACAAATTGCTCTTAAGTGGCTTGGTAGAAGAAATTTGTTTCGCTTGCCACTTCCGACTTTTGTTAAGCGAAGTTCATTGATTTCTTTTCTATTGAAATATATTGAATTTAGTGGTGTACATAAATATATAAACTAAAAAAAAAATATTAAAGAAGTTATGTGATTGCCATCGTTTCTCTCTGTATTTTTTTTTATTTTAGTGGTTGTGTTTAAACTCGGAAACCACCAAGGTGAAGTTCTAAATTTTTCATAAGAACCGAGCATAAGTATTTTTGAAAGAGTTGCCATCGGCACTTAGATAAAATTTATTTAAATTTACAAGTGAAGCAATATTATTCCAGAAAGTAGGCAACGCTTAAAAAAATCAGCCTCTTGAAATAGAGAGTAACCAATCACCGAATTTTACAATTTGGATATTAATAAAAAGTTTTATAGAAATTTGTTGAGCTAAAAATATGTTTGGAGAAGATTTGCCAACTATTTAAATAAAAATTAGATAAAATTTGTAGCATTTTTCAAGTTGGAAAATATTAAAAAAAAAATTATATAATATTACTATCGTTATATTAATAGAGTTGCCATCCTTTTAAATCCTTAAAATTAAAATATAATTGAATTCAAATCAAAAATTTCAAAATGGCACAACAAAGCGCATTTCCGAACGCATTATTTTCCTAAGCCTTTTTCAACATTTTTGTTCTGGACATGAATTAATTTCTTTAAAAATATCGAATATATTTATACAAACTTTTTTTTGGCAATGGTTTTAATTAATCTTTCCCATCACTTAAATGGAAATCATGTTCTAAATAAAGAAGTGTTTTGGCTTTGCACAGAAAATATAATTTGATTTCAAAATCAGTTAAATTTTTTACTATTTCTTTAATCCCATATGGGCTTTAGGTGTGGAGACTGAGTAACTGTTTCTAACACTTCCAGGCAATCAAGGGGAAGCTAGTTTCGCGCGTTCCATGACCTATGCTTTGGTCATTGTCCTGACTACGATTAATTCATTGACATCGGAAATCGAAAACAATATGATGGTGGCGATTCCGAAAACTTAAGAGATCACAGACTCATAAAAGATCCCAAAGTCTTTTAATTCAATAACAAACTTCAAGTCGGAAAAGGATTTCTTATAAACTATGTGTGCTATTTATGTAGCTCTACTTGAAGTGCACTCTTGTCATTAAGATTTATTACAGTAGAGTAAATTTGTATGTAGATCACATGCATTAAAAAAAAAGTAGAAAAGCAAAATTTAATTCGAATTCTGAATAAAATATATCCGAATATCCATTTGCGAATCTCTGCTGAATCGCAACAAAATCGACCCATTTCTCAAGTAGAGTTTTGACTGTCGCTAAAAGTGGATCACCTACGAAAACCTCAAGCGAAAGCGGTCTGGGTCGAAACACTGTGAGTCGGCGAAAACGGTGGCCTAACCAGAAGGTTTTGCTGCGTGTTTGGTGGGATTGACAGGGAGTTATCTGCTAAGAGCTGCTCCCATATGGCAAAATTCTTAACTCGGAACTATGTTGTTAACAATTAGACCATCTGTAAGAAGCAAAAGTCCAGAAGCGGCCTGCTTCGGCCAATAGGAGACAAATTGTATTCCATCAGGACAACGCCAGGCCACACACATCGCTAGTGACTTGCCAGAAGCTCCGCAAGCTTGGGATTGGGAAGTTCTTATGCACTTACTACTTACGTACTTATAGCACGGACCTGGCACCAATTGATTACCATCTGCTCCCGTCCATGGTGAACAATTTTGCTGGTGAAAACTTTCAAAACTAAAGTGCCCTCATCCATTCGGACGACATGACCTAGCCAGCGTAGCCGCTGTCTCTTCATTCACTAAACTACGTCAATATCATCGTATAGCTCGTACAGTGCGTAAATGGCCATAAATCATCTTCAAACCTTTTCTTTTGAAAACCCCTCCAGATGTTTCCGGACCCTTTAGACATGATTGATTGGTTTTGCTTCGTCGAGAGAGAACATTTCAAGGCAGAATGCTGGTTGTATAAGATTTCAAAGTTGTAACTGTTAATAGAGGTGCCGGAACCAAGAAACGAACGTGTTGAGTGTATGCTAACTGACAGGGGATAGATATTTCATCTTGTCCTCTATTACTACCAAATTTAAACGCTTATATTCTTTGTCTTGCTTTCGCTATTTGCTTCAGAATTAGGTTGAGAAAGTCACACGAACGAAGCTTTTCAAGGATACCAATTTCAGACTAAGCGGCGTAAATTCGGCTCCTTTTCATTCCGTTTAGGACAGCTTCAAAATCGAAGAGGAGGAAAGGAGAAGAGAAAGAAGAGAGCTTCCGAAAGCGAGTATCTTTAATTTTTCAAATACTTCTCGTTTCTCATTTCTTATGCTGCATTAGATGAGATACACTTGAGAATGTAAATTGTGACTTTTAACACCCACTAAAATATGTTGATGTCAATCTTTCAGCGCATTGTCGCCTACCCCATGCTTGTATCGAATTTCAAAACCTCTTTTAGCCATTGGGAATTTACAAGTATTGAATGAACAATTGTAGCAAGTTTATTTGCTATGCAACACTGAGCCATGAGGAAGTACATACCCGTACATATATGTGTACATACGCTGATAGTTGCACACAAACACTTGCAAGAAAATTGTATATTCATGTGTGCGCCGCTACTTCCTGCGGGGTTTTGGTAAGAGCGCCTTTGGAGAGTCAACTAACTCATATAACCGATACAATTGACGACGAGTAGACATCGTTGAGAGCAGATGAATATAGTTAGTTGTTTTTGTTGTTGTCATATATGTAATACAGTAAAAGAGTATTGGTCGTTTTGCCGATTTGTCGATTTGGCATTTCCGATTACGCTCAAGTGACAACTTCACTTGCGCTCGAGTGCAACTGTGGCATGTCTTGCGATGGGACATAGAAGTTGGTTGATGGCGATGCAGCTGGCGAGCGGTGGCAATTGGTAAGTGGCAATTGACAGAAGCGCCTACGGGCGTCATTGCGCTATATTATGCTGATGTCCTCACAATTTTCGGTATGTCATCGCGATAATTCGACAATTTCCAAACGGCTTTTGCTGATAGAGCAAGAAAGAAATGTTATTGAAAAACAATTCCGAGCATGAAAAACTAGGCGCGGGACAGGGAAAGTAAAAGAGCGACTGGATGAGCAGCAGCTGCTGCAAAGACACAACGTTGGCAGGGAGCAGGCAGACAACCATGAATTGCTTCCAAATCACTTACCCACAAACGCCGACTTGAGTATTGCGTCGATATTCTCTCATGGCAAGCCGTGCTGCGAAGCACGCGTGTGTGGGTGTCGTTGTAAATTTTGGCTTTTTGCACAGCTTTGCGTGATGCTTATCACGCGTGTTGATTTCTGCTACCAGACGCTTTTCACGTCTATTAAGTACGGTACAATGTAGTAATAAAATAATATTAAAATAGACACATTTCTATTGATAAAACGGAAAGTTTTGCACATAAAGGCGCGCCAAAGCAAAGTGTGAATTGTTTGCTTTTTCGGTGCATTTAAAGTTTAAAACAACTTTCCAATTACATAATAAATACTCATATGTGGCTGAGTTCGTATATTTCATATCTCTAACCTTCAATCGCATGCACACACACACCCACACACATGGTAGTATTTTTCAAATATTACGTAAACATATTGCGTCGTTACCGTGCAATCCTCGCCCTTTCATAGCGATTCGATTGCTGCCTTGAGCGGCATTTTTTTTACTTTTCATACTAAAGTTGCAACTAACAAATAAATATAAAAAAATCTTGGTTGCAGAACTATCAAATGCTTTATTTATTTATTTCCTTGTTGGTTTTTTTATTTGTTAGCTCTTTAGAAATGCAAAGCAAAATTTTTTGGCAGTAGATCAGTTGCATCTAAGTGCCATGCAGGCCTGTACCTGGCGGTGCAATATCTAAACAATGATGCCCAAGCCCTCATATTCTAATATTTGCACAATTTCATGCTAGTGATGTTCTGCTAGGAAAAATTTGCCTTTCAGGAAATGAGTTACCGTTGAAGTGTGTTAACACTGTCAATTCAATGAAGACTGATTCATGGGTTGTAATTGTTGCTTGACTCAAACGATCAGATCAGAAATCAGGTTTATCTTTGATTAATTAGAAACTTATTGCGATTAAATAGATTAATTTGCAAAACTCTTTTTTTTTATAAAGAATCTTGTTAACTTAATGAATCACCAAATTGGTGTAGCAGTGAGATATTAACTCGATGGCACTAAACGTGTATTATTTAAGACAGAAGTCAGCGAGTTGTATTTCTTGAATAATCTAAAAATTTATTCATCCATTTCTTCTGCTCTAATTGCTTAGAATTTTAACTATTTTCTAGCCTACTGTCGTTTCTATTAGTAAAAAAATTGAATTGATCATTTCCCTAGTTACATATATAGTTTCCTTAATCAAAAAATATTCGGTAAAAAGTTCGTTCGGTTTTTTTTATTGATTTTTGAAAATATGATAATTTTGTGTACATTAATCCGATTTAAGTCAAAAATGCGTAGTTTTGTTTGTAAACTTGTTACCAACGAGATGCCAACTTCATTATATCCCCCTCGTAGAAGGCTGTGTCCCTATTGTCAAAAAACTCGGAGAGCCAATTTTCACAGGCCTCTCTTGAGGCCAACTTCTCACCATTCGGCGTGTTCGTCATGGACAGGAAAATATGGTAAACACTTGGTGGCAGGTCCGGACTATAAGGTGGGTGCATTAGGATCTCCCATCCGAGCTCCAAAGACGTGTGTGGTCTGGTTGTCCTGATGGAACACAATTCGGCCTCTGTTGATAAAAGATGGCCTCTTCTTAATGAATGCTGCATTCAAACGGTCCATTTGTTAGCAGTAGGGGGCCGAATTGAGCGTTTGGCTATAGGGGAGCAGCTCGGAGCAGCACCAACTACACAGCAAAACCTTCCTGGCCGTCAATACAGTATTGCTACCGTCTGGCCGCTGTCTGGCCGCTTCCCCGAGATTCGACCACGACTGTTTGCGCTCGATTTGTCGTAATTGACCCATTTTTCATCGTCAGTCACAATCTGCTTCAGAAACGGGTCGATTTTGTTGCGATTCAGCAGCGATACGCAGATGGCAATTCGGTCCTTCATGTTTTTTTCCGTTAGTACGTGTGGCACCCTAACATCGAGCTTCTTTCGAATCCAAGGTTATGCAAATGGTTCCAAACGGTTTTCTGGCTTATCTTTATTTCCTCAGCAATTAAATAAGTGCCCACGTGACGGTCTGTTTACACTATTTTTATGATTTTATCGCAATTCTCGACGACAGGCCTCCCGAAGCGTAGTGCATGATTCACATCGAAGTTACCGGAACGGAACCTAGCAAACCACTTTTGTGCTACACGTTCGTTTACAGTATCGGGTCCATAAACAAAATTAATTTTTTTCTTCCGGCGACACGTAACTCTAGTACTATAGACAATAACGCCATCTCTTAGATAAAAACCGAACTAACTTTTTTTCTCTTACTCAGCTTTCACCCGCCGATACTGCTTTGAATAATTTGAAAGCTGGAGTGATTTCATCCATTTCGACGTTATGACGCTGTCTGCATTCGTTGAGCTTGTCCATTGTCAACGATATTCGGCGTAGCCAAAGCGCAAGTGGCCACAAATCGTTCGCAAAAACTTTTCTCTCGAAGACTTCAGGGCCAGGGCCAATTGAATTGCAGTCAGAACTATTTTTAGTGTAGCTTTCAGCTGGAATTAAGTTCTCTTCAGGACTCTCTAAGGTGACAGGATATTATATAGGTAGGTAAGGTTGTTGACCGAAGGGTTCAAGCTTCAGAGCGAGTTTCAGAGCACTATCATAAGACCTTAATTTGGCTGCTATCAAATTACATTGTCACTTTCAAACTGTATATCCGCAGTATAGCTGAACTATACGGATTGATAGAGTGGTAGCTTTGAATTTTGGCCACAAGATCATATAAACAATAGATTTAGGTTATTTTCGAATCTCAGCCGGTACTGCTTTGATCAGCTTGTAAAAAGAAACATTACAGAATGACTTGCACTGCTCGTGAAAAGTAGATTCTACTTTTGTGCTGAGATGACTGAAACTACTCTTTCTGCATGTTAAAGCAAACGGAACTGAGCTGAGTAGGTCTTGTTTTTTGTTGGTGTAGTAAACGCAAAAATATTTTCCCAATTTGCTCTTGGGGGAATATTACACCACGGGATAAAAATTCGGGTCTCTCAGGTATAAGAACCCGACTGACGTGAGTGCTGAGTGACTGACGTGCTGTGAGTAAATTCCTGAACCCATATCTCGCTGGTTAGTAGGGTGTCATGTTGGGCAATTCCGTTCTTATAGAGTAGGAGAACGTCTGCGATAATGAAAACTCAAGATCGTTGAATGTAAATTAAAACAAAAATTAAAATATGTAAAT